AACAGGGGGGGGAGGCCTGCCGATAAAGACAAAAGGAATTTGCATTCAAAAAAAAAAATCTTTGAATGAACACAAAGAAACGACTTTCCCTCACCACTAAAACGGGACTTTGTTGTCGCTCGTGCGCCCCCCGCCAGCCGCGCGAGCGTCTTCGTACGAGATGACCGGCGCGCTGGTGTCTCACGGCGCTTGGGTGGAGCAAGTGTGCGGCAAGAAGAGGACGGCGGTGCACGAGGCCGCCCGGGCGGGACACGCCGAGGTCCTCATGCTGCTGCTCCGGAACGGCGGACGCGTCAACCACAAAGACATCAACGGCGTCACGCCGCTCGCCGCCGCCGCCGAGCGAGGCCACGTGGCCGCCGTCGAGATCTTGCTCAACTGCGGTATGACACTTTTTTTCGGGGGTGGGGGGGAGATTAATCGTAAACAAACAAGTCCAGTAACTTGGCATCAGTGTCGTTCGGAAGCGTTGGCCGGACGACGTTGAACTCGCCGTCGTCGTCGTCGTTCAGGCAGCAAGGTGAACTCTCAGGCGTGCAACGGCGAAAGCGTTCTGCAGGACGCGGCCGGCTCGGGAAACACGCGCTGCATTCAGCTGCTGCTGGACAACGGCGCCGACCCCAACCTGCACAGCGCCACCGGACATCTGCCCATCCACAAGGCCGCCTACGCCGGACACTACGAGTCAGTCACACGCACGCGCGCACCTGTCGAACAGCGTCCGCGATGCGCGCGTCTGACGTTTGTTTGCCGGCGGGTCAGGGCGGTGAAGCTCCTGCTGCCGGTGACCAGCAAGCGGGCCCTGAAGGAGGCGGGCCAGAGCCCGGTGCACTCGGCGGCCGAGGGCGGCCAGAGCCGCTGCCTGTCGCTGCTGCTGTCGCGCGGCTTCGACGTCAACTACCGCATGAGCGGCCGCAACGCGCAGAACTACCGCGACATGCGGCGGAGCGCCCTCTACTTCGCCGTGTCCAACGGAGACGCCGAGTGCGCGCGGCTCCTGCTGGACGCCGGCGCCAGGACGGACCTGGACCCGCTCAGCTGCCTGCTGGTGGCGGTGCGATCGGGGCGCCACCGCATCGTGCGCATGCTGCTGGACGCCAAGGCCGACGTCAACTGCTACTTCGGCGTGGTGAGCGACACGTCGTTCCCCACCGCGCTGCAGTACTGCTTGAAGGACGCCGCCATGATGAGGATGCTGCTCAACGCCGGCTACGAGGCGGACAGCTGCTTCCGCTGTCGCCATGACGACGTCTGCCGGCCGCCGTCTGACGACGACGACGACGACGAGAAGATACCTGTAAGTCGCCTTTTCTTTTCCGCTTTCCACATCTGCTCAGGGAAGAGTACAAAATCAGATTTTTTTTTTCTTGACAAACACCATAAACTGTGTACACATGTAATAAGAGAGCAGGTAATATGTAAAATACTGTACAAACATTTTCTATGTTTTATCTTTTCCAATTTTTACATAAACATTGCAACATAAAAATTCAAGTAACATCTCTCTCGTAAGAAATGAAAAACCATCCGCGCTCACTCACTCACATCGAGGGACAATTTTGAGTGATCAATTAGCCCG